AGTCTGTTCAACTTTGACTAATCTAGAGCTTCCCTCTAGAGCTTCCCCCTCCCCTTAGTGTGGACGCTTTATGCTTTCTAGCTGAAAATTATTTTTAATTCCCATTCTGATTAGTCTTTAAAAAACCCCTCAATAGTCTTGTTTTCATTTATTACAAGAAAGGGTAATAAATAATGAAGGAAGGGTTCTATTTATCCTTCTGCCTATTCCAATGAAATGTATGAAGTGGAATAGAGCAGGTAGTGTCTGAATTAACAAACGAATTAAATTTAAATTATAATCAGATGAACAGGATTTGTGGCTGAATAGTTCTGGAGGATGCTGTGTAAGTAGTGTTCCTTAGGCAGTCATTCTAGTAATCATCAGAAATTTTTCTGCTCCCAGCAGCTGTGGATAGTTATTTAGGACTAAGGATTAACTTTAATTAGAGAGGATGCCAGGTTCTAAAAGGCCAGGATCCAAATATATATTTATAACTTTTGTATTTGGTGGTGTCATGAGAACTACAGAGCCAGGCTGAAGAGATGAAATCGGCAGCTGTGTTCCTGTAGGGTGACTGGGTACTATAGAGCATGCGACTGGAGGAGAAGCAAGGTGGGGAGTGGTGGGCTTGGAGGCTGTGCACACTTGTTCATTCCAGCTCAGGAATTATCTTGCAGTTGAAAAATGTGTGAAGGGCTTCTGAAGCTTACCCAAGCTGTTTGATGTTTCATTACACCATTAAGTACAAAGCAATGTGATTCTTGAATCTTTAAACTTTTTACAAATATGTATTTATTCATCCTGGGAAAAAAAAAGGTGGTTGTAGTTAATTATTAGCTGTGTCTTCTAAATATTAGAGGAACTTGTGGGCCACCCAAAGCACTGATATTAAGGAAGATCTGGATTTCAGGAGTTCTTGTCAAAAACCACACGCTTCTCCATAACTGATAAAGTTGGCAACCTCATTATTAGGAGCAACCTTGGAAAAACAGCTGACTTATGAATTGTCTAAATGTTAACATTCTTATCTCTGGATAGCTGCTGGCTCAAGGCAGCCATGAAAGGTTCAAATATAATTAAGGCTTTTCATAATTCTGAAGAACATTTTGCTCATAATGACCATGTCTGTTAAATACTATATTCTTTTTGGATACAGTAAACTATAGCTTTACATACAGAAAGCAGGTTAAGAAATTTGCAAGGGATGTTGGCTCTAAGCACAATAGTTTCTGTCAGAGATTTTTCACTTGATTTAAAATGCAAATCTTAGACTGGGTTTTATAAGGTAAAGGTAGCTAAGCAAAATAAACTTACACCATTCAGACCAGTTTGCTCTGTCTGCACTTCCTGGAAGATCTTATTACTTAGGTAATTATAACAAAGAGGGTTGCAATATCTTTATCTGTGGGCTGGGCTCTAAATTAGTATGAGCATGTGGCTTAGAAAGGATGATTATAATTTTGACTTATATCTACTTAACTGTAAAACTTTGGCTATTAATAGTAAGCAATTTCTACTGATCAAGCAAAAAAGTGAATTCTCCTCGTCTTGGGGACCTGAAAAGGTAAGTAGATTGGTTCTTGTATTTTGCTGATACATAAATTAATCTAACAAATCCTGAAGGTTAGAATGTGCTATTAGTAAAGCTTGTACTGGAGCATTAAATCTTGTTAGTGGTAGTTTTTTTAATGTTTACCAAAGCTGAAAAAACTTATTTTTCAAAATATATGTATTTTTTTTTAATAGAGGTAGATAAGCCATGGTGTTCTGCATCTGTTAATGTCATTCAGGAATGAAAACTCTTAAAGTACAATTAAAATACCAGCAAATAGATCCTGTTTGAGGCACTTGGCATGCCATGAGATTGATACATGTGTCTTGTTATTTAATAATAATAATAAAAGAATCCACAATTGCAGATATTTCTATAGAACTAGATCAGAAATAATAACTGAAAGCATATGAGAGCTGCAAGCTATTTTCATAATACTACTCAGAGCAGTACACTCTGAGAAGGGAGTGTCTGGGAAAGTAAGATTTGCCTGAAGCACAAGCAGCAACAGGTCTGTCTAGAAAAAGATGTCAAACAAGTAATATTACATTATCGCTCTGGAGCAAAGAACATAGCATTTATTAATAAATCTTTGTTTGATAAGCAGGTTTTACTCTAGCTTAATGCAGTTAAGCAACAAATACACTGATAGAGGTGAGAAAATGGGCTGGATGGAGGCTGACAGGAGATAAAAGACACAGTTCTGGTGGTATTTTTTGGCAAAACTCTGTTTTGTGCCTAGTTCTTGATTGAAGGGGTTTTTATTAGTAAAATTTCAATTTTGCAATGTAATCTGTCATCATTTTCTGTACCTTTTTCACTACTGATGGTGAGGTACTGTATTTGATGTTTAGAAGAGATGGTAGTTCTGGGTTTCTTGTTGACAAATGTGTGATGCTTTAGCTGCTTTAAGCACACAGAGTGGTAGCTTACTGCAGAAGAGCGAGCCTGCTGTGTAATGCAGCCATAGAAACTCTATGCTATTTTCAGTATTTTCAACTTTTTTTCTCCCTTCTAATTTCAAGCCAGTCTGCTGTCCTGATTTACCAATACAAGTGGTGGCCATAGATTTCTGGGGGAGTGGCTGGTGGCCATGTCTGCCAAAGGGGCAAAGCAGCCTATGTGCACCTCAGGCAGCTGCTTACTGTAGGTGGATTTCTTTTCACTGAGGTGGTTATGACCAATGCTGTGATTGCTTTGAAGTAGGGAAAATATTGCAAAGAAGGAAGCTTGTTGCAGTTGAGAATCAGGTATCTCTCAAATATTTAGTGAAACTACTAAGCTACTGGCAGGTAAATGTGACAACAGAAGATGGAAATCTACCAAATCGAACAAATTAAAGCAACGGAATTGGAGGGAGTGTTTATAAACTTCACATATGTAAGCATTCTGAAATTTTAGTTTTGTATCAATTGACTTAATGACTTTCCAGATTATTCTGGTCATTATTTGTGTAATACCATTAAATAAAATATTTGGATCAGATGCATTTTGGTAAAATTCAGTTACATTTAGCATTATCCATGTTAACTTATTATTTTGACAAAAATTGAGAGACTAAAACCAACCCTTCATTTAAATTAAACTCTGCCTTGGGTGATGCTAAAGATTTTTCTTCTGCTTTCTGATAAGGCATTCGTGTAATGCTCTTCAGATCAATTTGATCTGAAGTTAAATCATGGCTTACTCATTACCACAAGTATAAATGGCACACTTCAGATTAGAACATAGTAGTTTCTGACAATTATTCCTGCATCTGTCCCTCTGGGTAGTGGTGTTACATACATTGACTAGAATGGACGTAGGACACACACCTTGCACAGAGCTTACTCATTGTTGGTGAAATATACACAATGGAGAAAAGCCTGCATCTCAGAGTTCTTAGTTTGTAAAAGAAGCAAATGATTTTGACTTGTTAGTAGAAATTTTCAGTTGCACTGGGCTTATTATTACGATTGAACATTTCTTACAGTGTGGTAATTTGGAGTCAGCCTTGAGTATACTTTTAGGGATTTTATTTTTTTTTCCTGATGATCCCTGTGAAACAAGTGTAAATTTTTATTTTAAAGCTGACTTTATCCTCTGACTGCTGATTCTATGTTCTAGTGTTTAGGCAGGCTCCAACTGAGAGAATGTGTATGTGGTTTAGCTACCAATCATGCTGTTGGTCCTTGTGGCCAGTGTCTGAATTGTCATTGGATGAACACAAAAATATTTTCATCTATGTGAATTGCCATTACAGATTATTGTAATATTTGTTTAAGTTCAAAGTAATTGAATTCTTAGCATAGGCAATCACATGATAAATACAGATTAATACCATTTCAGTGGCACTGGGATAATTGGCCCCATAAACATACGACCATGGCCCGTACAGTTACCTACAACCTGTGTTAGTTGAAGGCTATCTCTAGCCATTGTCAGGTAGGGGTCTTTGTGGTGCTTAGAAAGCTATCAAAAATCTAACCCTTTTGAATCACAGTTTTTGAGTTTGCCGTATCAGAAGACTGAATGTCAAAAGACTGAATTGCACCCTTCATGGAAGAGAAATCATAATTCTGTGACCCTTTAAAGGCTTTGTCAGTGTTTTGTGTGTTAGAGCACTGCAGAAATCATGCATAAGTACAATCCCTGTTCATCTCTGCGTGGGCACTGGTTTCATACTTCAGTGATGAAGTGATGTGCAAAAGGGCCTTATTTAAGGGAGGATTTTCTCACTGGCAGTGAAACAGATAGCATAAATTATTTTCCCCTTTGAAATGTCATCTGTTGACAACAGTGACTGTTACTTGACTAAGAGTCCAGCAACACCAACTAACAAGTAGCAGCTAATTTTGGAAGATTTTCTTTGTAATCCTTAATGTCAGATGGAAACATGAGTGTCTTTAATCCTTGCAACAGTAACTTCAGAAACTTCATACTTGGGGCATTTTCGTTATTGGAACAAAGAACTGTATTTTCAGTGTCATGAAAGAAGTTATGTGAAGATTGAATGAAGTTATAGAAAGGAGAAGTAAAAATAATTTCTGTGTTGTCTTTACTCTTCAGACAGCTATCACTGCTTATAGGTTAAGCACGTTTTCCACTGTGTTGTTATTCCTGCATTGAAACCTAGTCAGTCCTTTTCTCACACAGTTCAAAAGGTTGAAATGCACACAACTTAGAATCTAGGAAATCACTGTTAAGGATGAAGCGTTGGGGAATCTGTAGCTTCCAGTATTTGAGATTGGTTTTATATCCATCTGCATTTCCTTGTTTCAGTAAAATCAGTCAAAAAGAAAAAAAATCCACAGTGAATGAAAACCTTATAAATCCCAGTTCATGGGAACAAGTTTTTTACTTTCTGTATTACTGTATTTTTGGCTGTGTTTTTGCTAATGTGGACTTTTGCTTGTGTGACTTACTTTATAATGTAACAGACAGGTCTGATTTAGTGTAATGCACATGGTTTCATCTGTCTTTTCAGACCTTTATTCTTTCTACTGAAGAAATCACAGATGATGGCTTCTGACGCTAGTCATATGCTGGAAGCAGCGTTGGAGCAGATGGATGACATCATTGCAGGTATAATATTGCTTTATTTTACACCAAACTGTTCAGAGATTTAGCTATGTTTGTGCTTTTCCCTCCTGCAGTTTTCCTGTTTACTTTTTAATTATCATTCTCAATTTGCCAAGTTCTCTGGAACACGCAGATTTCTCTAGTTGAACCAGTTGTATGAAGAAAACGTAAAGTAAAATAAGGGAAGAAAACATGCAATTCCACCTCAGACATTGTGACTATTGAAGTAACTTTGCTCTAGTGCTCTAACTTAAATACCTTCTGATTCACATTCCATATTGCATGACTTAGTTTTTTGTTTCAGAGTGCTTTGAAAATAGTTTTCAGTTAGCTGGATAGTATATATCTATATTTTACACAAACACACACATATAGATATGCAAAAATATGGATGTATATAAAATATACACAAATGTGTATATATAATAGTATAATTTTGTTTATTATGTATGTATTTAAAATAGCTTAGCGATTAATTACCGTCACAGCCTAATGAGTTAGAAGGTGTATCTTCATCTTAAAATTTATATTCTGGAATGGCGCTACGAATTTCTTCTACACAGCTGTCCATGAGAAAGGCATATTATGCAAGACAGAATTGTTTGTCTTTTGGTACTGTCATAGTAAGGCAATTAAAAGTTTTTCTCTCAAGATTACAGCATCCAAGAAGAGAAGTTGATTTCTCTGGTTAGGACTCTTACCTTTGGGGTTTGTGCTCACACACTATACTGTATATACTCCTAAAAGAAGTATCTGGGTAGGGCAATGATCTCACTTGTGCACAATGGGAAAGCATTCACTGAAGCTTTATAAATTTAAATAGTGACACCCATGATGTGCCTTCAGACTTTTTTTACATAATGATGATGACATCAGCCTTTTTTTGCTGCAGTTGTGTTTCTTCCTGCTGTTTTAGTAAAGCTTTCTATCCAGAGATTAATACAGAGCTTCAAATATAATTATTAGAGTAACCATGCTTAGGCAGGAAGTCTTATTCAGGATTTTTAGTTTAAAGGATCTCTAGATATTTTGTTTCTCATTAAAATATGGGTCTTCACTTTATTCCAAAAGTGTAAGCTTTAACAGTCTGCAAAGATACACAAAAGTGTAAATGTGAATATATGATGGCTATAACTCCACAAATAAGTTTTCACACAAATGGAACAAGTTCTAGGCTATTAGGAAAATTTAGATATGCATTTCCTTCTCCCTTCTTTTTTTGAATGCAAACCTTATTCAAACAAGACTTTAACCTCTTGCAAAACACGCAAACAGATAGTCATTGGAATATCTCTCAGATATGTAAAGAGAGAACAAGAACAGCCAGTCCCAAACCATAATTCGTAAACCAGGGATCCAAAATAATTTCTTAGCCATTGCAAACCTAGGGTTATGATTGTGTTGAGTGCTATAAAAGAACCAGAGGAACACAGAAGCCCCTGTCCCTTTAATTATGCTATGAAACAATTGCTCATAAACCACCTGCATACATCCAGAAATTTTAACTCAGTCTCTCTCATCTGTGATGATTTATGCGTAGCCCAGCACATATTGGTGATATCATGATGCACTGATGATTCAATTCTTCAGAAAAATCAAGAGAGGGAAAGAGTAGACATATTCTATTTAAACTGATTTTCAGATTAGACATTTATTTTCTTCCAGGAGTTGTCAGAGCTTTGTGGTATGCTTTCACTTGAAGGAAAGGTTTAGAAAACTTGGGATGATTTTGAGGGGCTTTTAAATTCCATAGGAATATGATTAGATCTTTTCTGTTATTCATGCTTCCAACATATCTCAAATTGTCCAGTGTCTCCTCTAATGAACATAAGACACCACGTATTCACCGAACAGGTCTGTCGCCTTGCTTCTCTGAGCAGTACTATGTTTTGTTTAGGAGTAAAAAAAAAAGGAAAGTTTTACCTGATAATGCCATTTCATATTCCCTTCAATAAAGTTTTGTAGATTTACAAGCTCACTTTTTCCACTGAGAGGATAACATTGCTACTCAGCAGTATTTCCATGAATGTAAGCTCTGAAATATGTTTGTTGTGAGGCTCATTCTGGGTAAGACAACAGGTGTTTAGCATTGAGTACTTTTTCCATGGTATGGAAAGATAGCCATGTGATATGTGGCATAACTGATTAAATGTCAGTATATGACTGTCTAAAAAAAGTCATATTTCTTCTAGTTTCATGCCAGAAAAATGGTTCAGGTCAGAAGCCAGGTTTGGTGTTTTGTTTTTAATATTGTTTTCCTTTTCCCCACTTCTTTTTCAGATTGTTTGTGCCCATAACATTTTAGGGTTAATCTTGATAAATAAAGAATAGAATTAAATTTTTTCAGGCTTCCAAAGAGCATTGCTTTTACCCCCCCCCCCCCTCACACACACTTTGTTGCCCATGATGGTGGCATAGTGAAGCAAATGATGGAAGGAATATTCTGTTTGAATTGGCAGATTACACTTCTCGTTCACAGCTGTTTTGTATTGGCATTGGTGTCCATGCTCTAAAACAAAAAGATTCAGGCATGCTAGATGCATGTAGAGTTTGTTTCCACAGTGCATGGATAAGTCATGAGCAGATTGGCAACCTCTTCTAGAGAGCTGACTTTATGACTTCACATTACTTATATTTTTTTAGTCCAATATCCACTGATACTCAGTATGATATGGTAGACAGGCTTCTATAAAGATATCTAATGGGAGAAGAACCAAGGTATTTCCCAGACAATGCATCTGTCAAGTCACATCAATGTTAACTGAATATTTCTGTATGATTTTGGAATTATATCTACCTGTACCAATAAAAAAATCAAATTGTTTTATTCCTTTACTTTTAGTTATAAAGCAAAAGCTCGATTGGTTGGGAAGGTTGTTTACCTTATTTATTTATTATTTTCCAGTACTAGAAATAGATAATACATTTTAACACAGGTTGAGTTCAGTTGATAAGCTGGAGGCTTATCCGGAGCCATCCGGAGGGACCTTGACACACTTGAGAGGTGAGCCAATGCCAGCCTTATGAAGTTCAACAGAGCAAAGTGCATCATCCACATGTGGGTCGGCAGTCCCAGGCACAGCTACAGGTTGGGTAGAGAAGTGATTCAGAGCAGCCCTGCAGAGAAGGACTTGGGGGTGTTGGTCAATGAGAAACTGAACATGAGCTGACTTCAGTGTGCGTTTGGAGCCCAGAAAGCCAACTGTATCCTGGGCTGCATCAAAAGGTGCATGACCAGCAGGTCGAAGGAGGTGATCCTGCCCCTCTACTCTCGTGAGACCCCACTTGGAGTATTGTGTGCAGTTCTGGTGTCCTCAACATAAGGAGGACATGAAGCTGTTGGAGCAAGTCCAGAGGAAGGCCATGAGGATGATAAGTGGGCTGGAGCACCTCCCAGGCTCCAGCCGTATGAAGATAGGCTGAGAGAGTTGGGGCTGTTCAGCCTGGAGAAGAGAAGGCTTTGTGGAGACCTCATAGCAGCCTTCCAGTATCTTAAAGGGGCCTACAAAGATGCAGGGCAGGGACTCTTCATTAGGGACTGTAGTGCTAAGACAAGCAGTAGTGGGTTTAAACTTAAACAGGGGAAGTTTGGGTTAGATATAACAAGTTTTTTTACTGTGGGGTGATGAGGCACTGGAACAGGTTTCCCAAGGAAATGGTAAATGTTCCATCCTCGGCAGTGTTGGAGATCAGGTTGGACAGAATCTTGGACAACATGGTCTAGTGTGAGGTGTCCCTGTCCGTGGAAGTGGGGCTGGAACTAGATAATCTTAAGGTCCTTTCCAACCCTAACTATTCCATGATTCTGTTCTAGACATTCTCCTGTAGCTAATGTTCATGTGTTCCAGAACTATTTGTTAAATATTCTGGTATGATTGAAGGGCTAAATATATCTGCTGGAGCCTATGCTTGCACACAGTTATTATTCCAATTCGTCTCAAATTGAGAAACATAGTAATTATTCTAGTTTGATCCTCTTTAATTCAATCCAGTAAGCTTTTGTATGCAATTTGGGCAGTGACTGTAAAACACGAATGTTCTCTCATCCTGTTTGGTTAGAGAACAGACAAGATAGGAAACTCCTTCAGGAGGAAGACTGCAAGATTATCATGAAACAAACCAGGACTGAGTCTTATAACTGCAGTTTTATATGTAAAACCTGGAAATATTGGACAAATCATCTGTGCAAATGTAGCTGCTGTTGAGTAAACTGGAAACAGCAAAAATCAACTGTTCAGAGCTTTTGATGTTTCAGTTCACTGTGTCCAGCTTCTGTGGCTATCTCTAGGCAGCACTGGATTCAAAGACAAAGGCTAAACTTCATGACTGTTGGAAGCCTTATGTACCTGATGAAAAAGTTAATTCCTTTGGGATGAGGCTTGAGTGGGTACTAGAAGAGCTATGCTCTTCTCTTGGCTTCAGAAACCTTTGTTTTAGGCACAAAATGATCATTAATTACTCTTTTAAAGAAGTGAGAAGTCCAGAGATATGTAACTTGCATATATTTTGAAGCTTCCGTGTATGTGTATATATACACGTGCAAAATCAGCATTCTCTCTGTTTAATGAGAAAACAGTCCTGATTTTTTTTCTTAGCTGTAGTTATTGTTAAAATATTAGATTGTGGTCTTGTCCTTTAAGGTAAGAACTAGGCATGCAAATACATGTTACAAGTATTTACAGATTTACTTCCTACTTTTAGCCTTCTATTTTTAAAAGTCATGTCCATTACTCCAGATGTTAACATAGCTCATGCATGATTCTCATTAATCCAAATAAAAAGTCTCACTGTAGACTGTGCATCTCAGTGCAATACAAAATGTATTAAAGTGCATGAGGGTAGGATTGTGAAGCAAAATTAACAAATTGAATTTCATTGGGCTTGATCAAATTTTACAGATAGGTCAATGTTCCCAAGTCTTTTATGCTTCAGTACATCTGCACTGATAACCCACCCTCATAGCTATATAAATTAGGCATGCTAGATGATTAGTCTTATTGACT